GAGGGGACAGTAGGGACGCTTCTGTGCAGGCCAGGTAAACAGCAGCAGTGAGGTGAGCAGTCCCTGGGTTCGGGGATGGTCCACAGGTAGCTCCAATGGTATCTGACAATGGAGTGGTATGGGAGGGATGAGGGGTGAGAATGGAAACTAAAGCCAGTTTCCTGTTTATCAGGTTCCCTGCTGTTTACCAAGAAGGGGAATGTGGGGAGAAAGAGGTTCTGGGTTCTGAGTAGGATTCACGGGTTAGGGGTAGCAGAAGGAAATCGAAGGAGTCTCCTGGCTGTCCCAGCTGTCATGACCAGGGTGGGGCCCCGGGTGGCTTGAGGGGTCCACACTGATGGCCGAGGGTCCAGCTGAGTGTGGCTGTGGATCATCAGTGAGACCATCCCAGGTAGTGGGGGATGAGCCCGCGGAGTCTGGCAGGAAGAGGTAGAGGGTTTGCCGTTGAGACGTTGGGGCAAGGCCAGTGCCTGAATCACTACTGAGTGGTCCAAATGGGAAGAACCTGGATTAGGAGGAAGGGAGCAAGAGCTCTGGAGCAGAAGGAGGTTATGGTGAGGGTCTGGGGGTCTGGGGGGCTTAGAATCTGTGGTCTCAGTGATGGAGCAGTTGGAGGTCAAGAGGGAGGGACCGTGTGAGTGGGAGGCAGACAGGGAAGCAGATAAGACCAGCACTGTCCGCGAGGTCCAAGAGTGAGAGCGGCTCAGACATGGACAAGGAGGTCTTAAGCCTGCCATGGAGAAGACCTGGAGACTGTTGTCAGAGTCCCGTGTGAGTAAAGCAGGCAGCATAGGCTGTGTGGCAGGGATATTAGGGGAGGAGAAGAGGGAGGTAGAACAGTAGGAGTTTGAGAAATGCGGGGGCATTTGGAAGATGGTGGAAGGAGGGCCGTGAAGGGAGGGTGAGGAGGGGGGTTCAGGGGGAAAGGAGGTGGAGACTCAGGTTCCTTACTCCTCATGGGGAAGACTGAGCGGTTTTCAAAGACCCCGCAGGATGAGGGCTGCATGTCCCAGGTGTGTGTTAGGGGAGCCCCATCTCTGCTACGACGAGATAGAGAATCTGGGAAGGTGTATTTCTGGTGTACTGGGCTTCTGGAGGACATAGCTGGCCCTCTGGAAGGGATGTTGATGAGGGAAAGGAGAAAAGGAGAGCAGTGCTCTTTGAAATGACCTTGTCCCATCTCTCCCCTTCAAACTCAGCCTTCACAAGAGCTGCCAGGCAGCCCCAAACAGGCCTCTCACCCCCCTCAGAAATTCTAGGGGCCACCCACTGCCCTCAAGGTACAGTTCCTGCTCTTTAGCTTGGTACACAAGGCCCTTCTGGAACCATCCCTTCTCTTGCCCTCCTCTCACCTCTCTTATCCTAAATCTCTGTACAGCAGAACCACTCTGGTCTCCAAGGGTGCCATAACGCTGTGGCCTCTGGGCCCTCGCACTTGCCCAGATGTCTGGGACATTTTTCTTATCTCAAGTGCCTAGAAAATGCCAACAAGCCTTTCAAGCATCTCCTCCTTGGAGAAGCTTCTCTGACTCCCTCGAGGAGTTGTGATCACGCCTTCCTTTGTGCTGTCACTTGATCTCATCTTCCTTGTCTTATAAATCTCTCTCTCCCACTAGACCTGGAACTCCTTAGGAGGACAGACAGAGTGATGTTCATTTCTCTGTCCTCTGTTCTCAGCCTGGTACCTGGGATACAATCACACTCAGTTAATATTTAATGAAGGAAAGGACAAATGGATAGTTAGTTATAAGAGCCAGCATGTACTAAATACTTACTATCATTCCCAGCATTGTGATATGCTCTTTGAATCCATCACCGAATGTTATCCCCATAAGAAGGCTGGTGTACATATTGTTCTTATACCCATTTTACAGATGAAGGAACTGAGCCTCAGGGAGATAAAGTGACTTGCCCCAAGGGCGTTGAGCTAGTTGGTGGTAGAAATGGGCTTTGAACTCAGGGCTAATTCCAGTGTCCATACAGTTAGCCATTATCCTATATGGCCTCTATGAAAGAGGGAATACAAGATCTCAGAGAATAACAGGATCAAGGAGACTAAGGGTGCAGGGGACTCCGCGACAAATTGACAACAAAGTCAGCCTTTTTTTTTTTTTTTTAAATAACAGTGATGGTCACAAACACTGTTGGTTGCCTGCCCCAAAGCCCACTTTTCCTTCTTCAGTGGCACAGAGTTCTGCTTTAATCTATGAACACTCTTCCCCATATAATCCTGACTGGTGTACGCTAATCCTAGCAGCAGCATCCTTCTTGTCTGCAGTGGGTCCATCCAGTTAGCTTAAAAAATGCTTTTAATTGTAATAAATACACATAATGCAGAATTTATCATATTAACCATTTTAAAATGACAGTTAACTCTTTAAAAAGAGACTACTGGACTTGTTGCTGGACTCCGTCGATGAAGATGTGTAGCCTGGAGCTGCTGCAGCCATCTTGTGATCAGGAGGCCAGTAGCTGATGTGCTGAGGATAGTAGAATGAGAATATAGGAAAGAATTTGATTCTTGATGTGGTTGCTGAGCTGCTGGATCCTTCCTACCTCTGCCCTTCTTGATACATGAGATAATAAACCACGCTGCTGTTTAAGCTCTTTTGAGCTGGTCTTCTGTCACTTGTAGCTGAAAGTATACTGGTAAAGGGACAACCCAAGTGGGCCAATAGTTCTCACCTGGTAAAGGATGACAAAAACGATAAGGAATTTTGTTAATCTCCAGGAGATACTGCCCAGGTCTGGATCCACTGAACTTTGATCTTCTAATGAGAATGGTGATCTTGGTTTGAGGGAGGAATGATAATGACCTGAGACATTCTGTGAATAAGCGGTCAGAATCTACAAAAGGTACAATCCTAGCCATCCGGAGGTTCAGCTCAACAAACATCGGTTAGGCATGTCCATGGAGCTGGGATCCTAAGGATGAATCAGACACTGTTTTTGCCCCAAAGGGGCTCACAGTGCAGTGATGGACAGATCTACACAAGGTCCAGAGCCTGACATGCAAAGTGGCTGGGTGAAACTTCATGTAGGCATTTTGAAGGATGATAAGAGAAGGGTCAGAGATAAAGGCATTTCTTGGCAGAAGAACAACATATGCAAACTCAGGGCAACAGGCTGTCTCAGGGAAATTACAAGACATTTAGCATAATGGGAACCGGGCTGGCCTCTTACAGGTCATATGTCTCTGAGCAAATTGCTTGATGTTTTTGAGGCTCAGAATTCACATTTATAAGAAAAAGAGAAAAGGGAAGAAGGAGGAAAGTAAAGTGATTGTGAAATTAGGCAACAGAATATATATGCCAAGCCCAGGGCATGTATATGCCAATGCCCTGGAAGAGGAATATAGTAGTTGCACAAGAAATGTCCTTTATTTATTGTCACATGGTTCTAACTCATTATCTTTCCTGATCCAGGTGGCTTTCTTCCCTTACTCATTCCTGAGCCTAGTAGTGAGGCCCCCCAACTCCCGCAGACTTTTCCTCAGGCAGGAAACCTGAGCCCACGGTCTGGCCTTAGACATCTTCTAGGGCTGGATGGTTTGTGTGATTCCTTCTCTTCTCTCTCTCTTTTTTCCCCTAAATGCAACAAAATAAAACCAAACAAAAAAGCCCAACGCCTGGCGTGGCTTGTCAGGGAGTTATGCAAGTGTGTAAAAAAATAAAATAAAATAAACATTGAGTTTTCGGCATTTGGGGCTTGTTTGATTAGGCGCAGAGCAGAGCCAAGGGCCGGTGAGACACAGGGAAAGCTCAGGGCAGAGGGGAGAGGGGAGTTGCTTGAGAGGGAGCTGGGGGTGGGGGCAGGAGCAACTTGGAAGTGGCTTTTAATCCTCCTGCACACTTGGCAATGCTGGGGCTGGATGAACCCAGACGCTGGGCACTGGGGACCCAATCGCTCCACATGCTCTGGCCATCCACCATCCCTGTTCCCTGGTCATCAGGATACCCCAGGGGTCATTCCATCTATTCCCATCACTGTAAAACACCCTGCACCCTTGTCTCAAGGGGACTCAAGATTTAGGGCTCCCACCTCCCCCTCCTAAGCAGATTCCACAGCCTGTCTTGATTGCTCGCCACCCCTATCCACCTCCCCCCATCAGTGTAGCTTTTCTGCTCTAACTTAACTCCTGCTAACTACAGTTTGAGCCCACGTTCCTTTCCCCAATCTGAGCTGAATCTGGAGAAGAGCTGTTTGTGGCCCCAAGAAGTGTCTCCCTGTCTTCTTCAGGCTTGACTTCAACATCATCTGGGTCACCGCAGGTGTCTGCAGCCCTTTGAGACTCGTTCCACGCTCATCGATAGAGCCCCTGCCATTTACTAGGCTGTTGGATCTTTCATTTCACTAAACCCTCAAAACAGATGAGGCTCAGAGAAGTTAGGTAACCTCCGTATGCCACACAGCTGGTAAGTGATGGAGCAGGGATTTGAATCAAGGGTTTTTCTTTCAAGATTTCCCTCACTCTTCCACAGCAGCTCACCCGGATTCCCAGGATCTTACAGCCTCACATTTCCTTTGAACTGGGAAGATGCTCTGGAAGACTTGACCCTGAGAGGAGGAGGGCGTGGCCAGGACCACAGGCCCTGGTGAGCCTGGTCCTTGTCACTTCTGATTCCCGATAGGGAAACTGAGGTTTCTCGAGGCTCTCAGACCCTGTTCTGACCCCCAAGATGCCTGGAACTGCGGCGGGGGCTGTGGCTGAGTGGGATCCCCAGGGTGCGGGGCGTGGTGGGGGGGAGGCTAGGGCAGAGGGTCTGCGCCGGGGTCCAGAGGACGTGTGCGGCTGGCAGCCCCGCGCTCCAAGCGCGGCGCCCCAGCTGCTGCGGGCGAGGGCTTGCGGGAGGGGGCTAGGGACTCCCGGGCCTGGCACTCCAGTCCGTTTTTTGCTGCGGATCCAGGCAAGGGGGGCCGGCTCGGGGGGTGGGACTGCAAAGGGGGGGGATTCCCTCCCTCGTGCGAGCAGAGGACTGGCCCCTCTCCGGGCAGGGAGCTCCGGCAAAGCGGAGGCGCGACGGAGAGCACCAGCACTGGGCGGAGAGCGGGGAGCGGACCGCCGGAGTGGGGCATTGCGGAGAGCGAGGGCCGGACCGAGCCGCCCCAAAGGACCGATGCGCCGGGTGGGGCGCTGGCCCCGGAGGGCGTGAGCCGCCCGCAGATTGAGCAACTTAGGAACGCGCAGGCGGAGCGCGGGCGAGCCGGGCGCCCAGGACAGTCCTGCGGCAGGCGGGCTAGCCGGCCGCGCCCTCGCCCCTCCCGAGCCTGCCCCCGCCGCGGCTGGCAGCGCGGAGGTGAGTCCCCCCTGAGCTGCTCCGTCCTCCTCCCTAGCGCCCCCTTTCCCGGGACCTGGGGTGCCGGGGACCTCCCGTCGGGGCTCGGCCGAGCTGAGTGCCGGGGGGGGGGCGGGGGGGGAGGGGGCGACAGCGAGGGGAAGGGGACTTCTGGCTGCTGTGGGGTCAGAGGGCGGGAGAGGGCACCTCCTGGAGCCTCTCCTTCTAGTCCTTGCCGCCGCCATCCGCGTCATCCCTCAAGCCAATGGGCAGCCCCCTCCCGGTTGCTGCCTCGGGTTCCCCTCAACCCCGCAGCCCCCGGTGATCGTCCTCACTCTGGATCTGATCTCATCTGACTCTGAATCTGAAACTGATGGAAACTGATCGTTCTGGATTCCCCAAGCCCATCAGTCCTGTTCACCCCTCTTCCCCAGCTCTTGATCCCTGGTGCTGTCGGCTCGGATTCCCCTGAGACCCGTGGCCCCTGATTCTTTCCACCTCAGCCCCACAGCCTGGGTCTGGGTCCGACGTGGCAGGCTGCGAGCACGACCGCCTCCAGTGCGCTGCGAGGTGGCGCGACTCACTGGCCCTCGGGTCGGTCGCTGAGGGACGGATGGTACTGCTTGGTTGCGGAGAGGTGGGGGGGCTGTGTTCGTCCGGGGCTCAGAGGAGGGCAAGGACGGATTCTGGGTGCGGGTGCTTGGGGGCTGAGGCTTTCTTGTGAAACTGGCCTCTTGGAGAATTCTCTTGGATTTGGGGGGGGACACTGAGAGGGACTTTTGATCCGCCTCCCCTCCCCCTGCACCTGCTGGGCCTCCCCGGGACAGTGGGGAGGGAAGAAGAATTTGCGCGCAATGGGCAGAGATGGAGGGACCTGCAGGAGCCTTTCCCGGCTGCCCTCGGTGTTGGAAGGGTGGGGGGCGGCCCCAGCACCTGGCTTGGCTCCGGCCGACACGCTAATCCCGACAGGTCGGGCAGGCACGTACTTGGTCCCGCCCCCCGCCCAGCAATACCTCTGCCCCCGCCCGCCAGCCCGCTCCGCGGCCGAAACTCCCCACCCGTAGCCGGTCCCGGGGAGGGTTAATGAGACATTATCGGGATGGTTTACATTTTTGGGTCTGTATCCGGCCCCGGACGGAGTACCAATTTATCCTGATAGTGTTACAGGGAAGAAGGTGAAAGTTATTGCAACCTTGTGGGGGCACGGAGTCCCCGCCCTCAGCCTCCCCCCCCCCCCCCCCGGCCCTGCTGTGTTCCCCGGGGCCGCCTGTGTCCTCCCCTCCCCAGACCACCTAGCCTGTGCGCGGCCTCTCTCCTCAGTCTCCCGCACCAGCTCTGCCTCTGCTGCCAGTTCCTTCCCCACCTCCGTGGTCAGCTCCCTGCTCCCCTGCCCCGCCCTCCAGACACCCAGTCCTGAGCAACAAACCCCACTCAGTGGTCACTGGGCTAGATTTGTCACCCTGAGACCCTTAACCTCCCAGTGCCAATACAATGGGAATAATTCACTTCTTTCCTAGAGGTATTCGGAGTAAATGCTGGCCCAGCACATGTCAGGTGGGGCAGGCATCTGATGAATGTGAGCCCTTCACCCTTACCCTGGCAGAGACAAAATGCCCTTCCTTCCCCCCACAGATGCCTGAGGCCTTGATTACTGCCAGCAGTTCCCATTGCTGGCTCTGCCGGTCCAGGGTAGTCTGTGTATGTGCTTGGATGGGATGGGGATGGAGGGAGGGGTGGAGGGACCTTCTGGAGGGACCTTCTGGGGGCTTGTTTTGCAGCGTCCTTAGTCTGAGACCTCTCCAGCTTTTAAAATGGGATTTCACATCAAATTCTGAGTTTTCAACTTCTCTTTAAAAAAAAAAATCAGAAGATTTGACAATATTTAATCATTATCTCTGCCCATCAACAGTCCACTGGAGTTGAATAGCACCCGCTCCCTTTAGATGAGACATTTGCCCCCCAGCACACCCCCTCCACAACCGGCTGGCTGCCCTCCTATTTGTTGCTTATACTCCCGGCCTTAGCTCCTTTTCGGGGTTGATTATATGTATATACTTCTTTTTTAAAAGATTTTATTTATTTGTTGGACAGACAGAGATCACAAGTAGGCAGAGAGAGAGGGAAGCTGGCTCGCTGCTGAGCAGAGAGCCTGATGAGGGTCTCGGTCCCAGGACCCTGAGATCATGACCTGAGCTGAAGGCAGAGGCTTTATTTAACTCACTGAGCCACCCAGGTGTCCCATGTATATACTTTTTAAAGTGCTTGAATCTCCTCCCATCCAGCGATAGGTGAGTGAGGTCAGTGTTAGTTGCTCCCGTATTATTCAGATCTGAATCCTCCTGTCCGTTTCCCAGCTGAGATCATGGTTCCAGTGATTCAGGTGGGAGTGGGCCAGGAGGGCCTCACTGGTGAGGATTGGATGAGCATGGCAAGAGGAAGGCTGAAAGCTCAGACGTAGGAGGACTGAGGGGAACAGAGGCGAAGTAGAGAGAGGGCGAGGAAGGAAGCTGACATCAGTTGAGCCCCCAACCTGGTGTGCCAGGCCCTGGGCCGGGCTGGCAGAGGAGAGGCAAAGGAGATCTCTTCTGCTCCTAAGATCCCATTGATAACTGAGCTCACAGTAAGACCAAATTCTCACAGACCCCGGCTTTCACACCAGGTTGGTCGAATGTGGCTTTCTCCTCCAGTGTTTGTCCAGTGTAAGAACCCACGGCGCCCCAAGAATGTAACTGCCAGGAGTTTTCAGTTTCACAAATGCCTCAATTAAACGTCAACCCTGCCATAGTGAGTGATCACACTGGGATGAATGCGAGTATGGAAACTGCATAACAGGGCTCAGTATTAAGGTCCGTATCCAGATGATACCAAAACAAAACACCTGTATTGCTTTTTGGATGACCACTGGCATGTAGACACAAAATTGTGGCTTCCTGGTCATAGAAAAATACAACCATTATGAGTGAGTCCTCCTGACGTGCCAGGTGCCCTTCTAAGCCGTTTCATATATTGGCTCATTTAAACTATAAAAAACCACCATCCTGTCACAGATAAGGAAACCAAGGCTCGGACCAGCTGAACAACTAGGCTGAGGTAACAGCTAATACGTAGCACTGCCCACATTAGAAGCCCAGCGTTCTGCTTCCTCCCTTAACCATCATGCTCTCTACAGCTGGCCTCTGGCTAAAGACCCCAGTCTGATAAGCTCAGCTGGAGGACCGACCACAATTTGCAGGTGAGGGACGCGTGTGGTGGAGGCAGGGGAGGAGAAGGGCTCCGGCAGTGCACGTGGGGAGTCCTGGAGGGGCACGCAGGGGCTGGCATTTGGGGGTGGCAGGGGGCATCCCCGCCCCAGCTCGGCTAGGCTGCAGGACCAGGTGGGACCCGTCAGCCTCGTGTAAACACTTCTCACAAGGGCAGCTTAACCACTTGAGTGTGACTGGCCTTCAAAGCTGGAGGGAGAGGCCGAGCAGGGAAGTCGAGCTCCCTTGAGGGATAACGATTTATCTCCCGTGCAGGTGGGCTCCCTGGGGCCTCCCCCAGAGGCCAAGGGGAAAGGGGTTGGGACAGGGCTGGAGGGGCCCTGCCGCTCCAGCATTTCAGATTTCTCATTAGTAAGCCAAAACTCAGCCAACTCTCAGAACAAGCCTGTGAAACAGGCATCTTGATTCCCATTTTAGAGATGAAGAAACTGATGTTCAGAGAGGCTGAGTGAAGTGTCCAGAGGCATCTAGCTGGCGGGTGGGAGGGCGATGCTTCCATGGCATCTACGAAGCTTCCTGAAGCCCGGCTCTTTCCTTCTGTCCCTGGGCGAGCATGGGTGGGTCTGCAGCCAAGCGTTCAGGGCAACACTTTCCAGCATGCCTGGGCTGGGAGAACATGCGGGAGTAAGTGATCTCAGAGTGTGAAGCGGTGTTCGGCCCGGACTCCCAGGTTGGGCTCCAGACACACTGCACTGGGGAGGGACCAGCTGCCCCTGCCCCCATCACCGGGCCAGCAGGCCAGCGGGTCCAGAGACCTGGCTCTCGCTGGGCCAAGGGGATTATCCCCATTCTCTGTGTCTCTGGCCAGGGCGGGCACCGCTGCCTCTTTTATCCCCTCACAAAGGCCAGGCCCGCAGGGCCTGCTGTGTCAGAGTTTCTGTGGCCGGGGGAAGCCTTACTTCCTTTTCTCCCGCCAAGCCCAGAGGGCCACGCAGAGTCTGCCCACTTGTTGGGGGGCCGCCACTAGAGCTCCACAGGTGAAAGGCACAAGGGTGACTCAGCACTGGGAGGAGAGGGCTGAGGGGTCACTCACAGAAGGACAGAGAGCTCCTCTTCAAGACAAAGGTTATTCCTGCAGTACGAGGTCAGAAGGGTAGATCTAAAGAAGCACATCCAGGCAGAGCTGGCCAATAGCGGTCAGGGGTGGGGCCAGCTGGTTCCCAGGGATCCACAAATTGGATGTGAGAGTCTGCCATAGTCCAGCTGCTTGGGTAGCCGGCTCCAGTCCCAGGTTAGGGTGTTCTGTGAAATTCCCAGGAAAAGGAGCAGATTTCTTCTACAGGGTGGGGGGTGCGGCGGGGGGCAGGTGGGTAAGTTGTCCTATTCAACCATTCGGAGTTCTCACAGTCTTCTGGGTAGGAGACCACGTGGGAGGGTAGGAGACATTAGTTGGGGAGACCCCATGGTTCCCCAGAATTAACCTCTCTTTATCCTCCCCCAACAGGTTGGTTTTTGGAGGTGTCCCCGCTGAAGTGGCAAGTTCTCCCATGTGACACACTCGAGGTGCCTTTGGGGAAAGCTCTCTGGACCTCCCAATGGGCTGATGAAGAAGTGGGCTCCCCACACCCTCTCTGTCCCCAACTGAGATTATGGTGGATTTGGGATACGGCCCAGGCCCGGGCCTCCTGCTGCTGAACCAGCCCCGCAGGTTTTAGCAAGAGCCCTGCGCTGTCCAACCCCCCACCCCCCAAAGACCACCCCTTCTACCAGGGGCCTGAAGCTGGCAAGTGACTATGCGGCTTGGGCTGTGTGTGGTGGTCCTGGTTCTGAGCTGGATGCATCTCGCTGCCGGCAGCCGGGGGATCAAGGGCAAGAGGCAGAGGCGGAGTGAGTAATGGAGCGGGGCTGGACCACTGCTGGCCTTGGGAGCGGGAGGGGGCCGCCTGGGACCAGAGGGCCATCGGCGGTTTCATTCAGTGATGACCATGGCAGATTTTACTTTGTCTATTACAGCTGTGTAGATTACTCAGTAGATTATCCTGTTTGTGGATTATCCAGTGTATGGATTAATTTGTTGAGATTAGCCCCTCTATAGATTACTTTTGTCTATTTTCCCCTTTGTAGACTCTGCTTTCTAGATTAACCCCTCTCTTGTGAGGATCCAGTGTGTGGATTATGCCTTTTGACATAACACCAGCTTTGTGTGGTATCCATGGAAATGGGGTCCCCTGCTGCTGGGGCCCCGGCCCCAGGGTGCTCGGCCCCCTCCTCACTGATAGGAGTTCTCAGCTCTTTTCTTTGGGTCTTGGCTGAGTGCGGGCCCCCGGTAACCCCTTGGGGCCAGGAGCTCTACTAAGCTTGGGGAACAGCTTCCCTGCCAAGTTCATGGGGGCAGATGCAGCAGAGTAGGGAGGCTCGTGAGACTGTCCACTCCTGTGGTTTTTAACTCTGCACAGTGGGATTCGGGGAGTTGCACTGGGGGCTGAAGGGGAGGCAGTGGGAAGGACTGTGGCCCCACCGCCCATCCAAGCAGAGGACTGCTCACTCTTTCCTGTTTTCAGCCAGATTCCACATGAGATGTCACTGGAAGGAGGGGTTCCCACAGTTTAAGAAAAAAAAAATTTTAATTCTTTTGTGATACAAATAGGCCTAAGGACACCTGGTTGATACTGGAACCCAATTCCCATGAACCCTGTCTTCCTAAAAGCAGAGCTTGACAGAGCTCACGGCGAACCTGTCCGCATAGAATCCCATCCCAGGCAGACCTGAGAGCCCCCGGCCTCATCCTGGCTCCTGCAATGGGGGGTGGGGAATGGGGGATGGGGGATGCGCACCTGCCTAGTATGTGAAGGGAGTCGCTGCTGGCTGTGCCAACTGACTAGGGAGAGGGAGGGGGCCTTTGGTACAGACCCAAGGGCTCTCTCCCTTTCAGCGTCCCCCATAAGTCATGTCACTCCCACAGGTGGGAGGCTCCTCTGAAGTGCGGCACAAGCCCCTCTTGCTTCCTCCTGAGGCTGTCAAACCCAGGCCCACCAGGAAAAGTCGGGAGGCAGTGGAGTTCACCAGTGCGGCCCAGGCCAGAACCCAGCCCAGGGAGAGAAGCTCAGAAAATTGGTGGAGCTGAAAATCCCTGGCTTAACACACAATTAGAGGCGGTTAGGTTTAATCATCATCGAGGCCTTGATTTTCCTCCCTGCTCCAGTATCTTGGGTTTCGCAGGCCCAATGTGGTTTAGCGGTTTATAACCAGTCTCCTTTGTTTCCAAGGTTGGGGGGGGCACCCACGCTCATGCGACACACATGAGCTGTCACACTTCCACTCACAGGGAGAGTCCCCCCACCCCCCAGCCAGGGATCAAAGACCTGTTGTATTGATACAAGTCTGTTGTATCGAAAACAACCACAACAATAACAAAGTACTGCCTTGAGCATCAGAAAGACCTGGTCCCTGCAAAGGCTAGGTGAATGCCCCAATTTGATGGGACCACAGCCCTGTACCGGGTGGCATGAGTGCAGATGTCCTTGATGGTGACATGTGAGGGTGGGAAAAGACTTGGGGTGCAGTGAGGACCTGGAGAGGGATGAGGGTTGCTAGACAATGCTTGTTGAATAAAAACCATAAAGCTACAAGGGTGATTGCAAAGGGATATAGTACAGCCTACGGGAGGTTTTATTTATGCGTGTATATTTGGTGGGGACCCTTTAGAAAATAGCAAAGCTCTGTCTAGACTTCAGGGTGCATGTCGTTGTTACATGAACAATGTGTGGACCGTTTGGCCCTAGGGTTTCTGTGGAGTAGGGAGGGAAGAAAGGACCACAATGCTGTGTGTGGCTGCTCGACCTTGTAGCCACTGTGGGGGCAGTGGGGAGCCAGCGTGGGGAGGTAGGCTGGCTGTGCAGATGAGCCTCAGGTCTGTCAACTCTGTCTGCTGTCAGAAGACACCCGATAGAGCACTGATCCGGAGACATATACCAGTTTAGAGTCCAGAAATGGCTGATCTCAGACTTGGGTGATGGTCTCCCCGCACGGAGGGAGTGAAATTGAGAAAAGGGCTCTTAGCTGTGAGTTAGGAACCCTAGCTGGGTGATTTCCTCCTCCCATTCACTGAGGGCCCTCCCTCCCCTCCCTAAGCCCCGTCTTCACTCACTTAGCCTCTTGTCTCCTCACTGGCCCTCACCCACTCCTGAATGCTTTCCTGCCTGGTCCTCAGAGTGCCCACCTTGACTCCCCACTCCTCACACTGAGTACTCCTTCTCCTTACTGAGACTCTTTTAGCTGATTCCTGGGTCCCTTACTCAGTCCTGTCGCCTTGAGTCCCTCATTCCTTCACTGAAGCCCGGCTCCTCCGTCTGACCCCATCCAGACTTTGTGGGGAAGTGAGATCAGGGGAGACTTCCTGGAGGAGGCGGCTTTTGTTTTGAGGCTTGAAGGAGTTCGTCAGGCTCAGGAGGTGGAAGAGAATGTTCCAGGCTGAGGGACCAACTTAACCAAAGGCACGGAGGTGTGCAATGATGTGATGTGTGCAGACAAACGAAAATAGTTCTGTTTGGCTGAGGGGTAGTGTTGAGAGATGAGGTGGGTAGGATCAGCTCATGGAGGCTTTTTAGGCCAGGTAAAGAAGTTAGTAAGACCAGATGGGTCTCAGTTCTGCTGGTGATAGGGAGCCATCGATGGATTTTAGGAAGGGGTGTTTTGGTTGTAGGAATATCAGTTTGCAAGGGTTTTGTGCAAGAATGGATGAAGGGGCCTGAGAAGCCCCAGGGAATGGAGGGGGGGCACAGCCTTGCCTTCCCAGTCTGGGGAAGTGGGCTTCACTGAGGATTTGGCGGGGGCAGAGCTGTGTGAGGGGGTTTTGTGAAGAGGTTGGGAAGTAGGCTCCATCCTTTCTCTGAATGTCCTCCACTTCCAGCCCACCCAGCCTCCACAGCGAAGCTACAGCCCTACCAGGCTGCCTCCCCTGTGTGCCTCCCTACATCATGGGCATAGGAACCTTGCATGTGGTGAATCTGGCCGTGCCCTTCTGAGGTCCCCTTCCTTGCCAGTAGCATAAAGCCCTATTTTCCATTCTGTGAATGCACTAAGATGTTCGGTGCCTCAGAGCCTTTGCACAGGCTGTTCCTCTTGTGTGGCACACCCTCTTCACCTAGCCGGCTGGGTAAGGGAGTGTCTTCCATTACTCATCCACTCACACAGCGTGAGCCAGCCCTGCTTGCCGCATCCCTGGATGGGCCTTTGTTTATGCCTCAGCTCTAGCTCTAGGTCCCCAGCTCCCAGTCCTTCTGGGCACAGGTTAGGTGTGCAGTAAATGTCTATGGAATGAATGAGCCTTGGTTTCTTCCCTTTGAATCATTAGGCATCCCCCAACGCCCACCATCTTCCTTAGACCCCGTTTCCCGCACACAGAGCCCCCCTCCCTGTGGCTGTCTATTAGCACCCCACTGCCCATGCACCTGTCTCATTAAGCTGAGAACACCCTTGGGTTCTTATCCTTCTTGACCAGCATCCCCTTCCTCACTGAACTAACCCCTGCCCATCACTGAACTCCTCTCCTCCTTGATAAGCTCTCCTTCTCCTTCCTGCACCCCCAGACTTCATGGAGCTCATTTTCCTTTGTCCTTGTCTCAAGCCCCAAGGCCACTCTGCTTTGCACTGCAACTCTCCTGTATCCTCGGGTCTTCACTCCATCAGTTTACCCAGCCTTGGAGTCTCAGATGCACGTGATCACAGCCCCTGCTCCCAGCTGCTCTCCCCTCTCTGTTCCTATGTTCTTAGATGCTTTCTGGCCCTCTCCTCCCTTTATCTCCACCTCCACCCCTTCCACTCGCTTCCCATCCCCCACTCCACCAGAATTGCTCCTTTTGGGGTCAGCCAGTGGGTCACCTCCCCATGCCGGTATGTGGCTATGGTCTCCTCCCAGCTGTCTCTGCACATCTCCCCCTTTGCAACTTGGCTCCTGTGCCCACTCTCCCTCAGCAACCCCCACCCCTACCCCGGGATTCCTTCTCAGTTCTCTCTGAGCCCCTCCTCCTTAGCTGGCCTGTTGAGTGAGTGTTGCCCGCTGCTTAGGCTCTGCCTTGGGATGACTCCCCGTCCCATGATTTAACCACTGATGACCACAGCTTCCAAAGTAGGATCCCTGCATTCTCTCCCCTGCTCCACAGCTGATTTCTTGAATGAGATGACTCTCCTTCCTCTATTCCTCGACCCCTGCCTTCTGCCCTCTGCCCCCATCAGGGGCAACATTGCTGCTTCCTTGCCTGACACCTCAGCAGCTTTGGAACAGCGACGCCTCCCTGGCCTGCCCAGTGAGCTCTGCTCTTGGCTTTCATATTCACTGTGCCTTTGAGGGGCCTTTCTTTTTTCTGCCCTTCCCTTAAATTCCTGGTTCTTTTGCTCATTCTCTCGACCCACTGTCCTTTCTGTCTTGTGGATGCTCATGCCTTTATGACTGTTTTCATGTTAAAAACTCCACATTGAAGTCTCCAGCCAAAATATTTCTCTTGACTTCCAGACCCACAGGTTAAACTGCCTAATAGACACCTCTCCCCAGATATCCCACAGGAGCCACAATGTCAACACATCTAAAACCTGACTACTCATCCTTCCCCCACCCAAACCTGCTCCGCCTCCTGTGGTCCCCTCTTGGCGAAGGGCAAAGGGCCATCTTGTCACACAAGCCCAACACCTTGGAGTCACCCTCAGCTTGCACTTTCCCCAGCCCTCAGCCCCAAGTCTAGCCCACATCACCTGGTCTTATTGATTCTCCCACCTGAGTATCTCACCTGTGTCCACTGCTCTGCATCTTCTCCATCCAGCTGTCTCTTTGGGCTTGAGATATCTTCTTGTCTCCAGACTTGCCGTCCCTATGACCCATTCTCCCTATCACAGAGTGATCCGACCATGTCTCTGATTTTAAAGCCCCCAGTAATTCTTCACTGCCTTTAGGACAATGTCCAGACTCCTTTGTCCAGATTCAAGACCCTTTCTTATCTTGGCCTGCTTCCCTTCCAGCTTCACGTCTAACCCCTCCCTCCATGCTCCCTGCCCCCACGCTGATTTCAGATCCTGAGGGCTCCACGCTTTCTCTTGCTGTGTCACTGAGAGATCTGAAGAGAAATGCACACAGAGATGTGCTGGTTGATTGAAAAAAGGACAGCAGGATTCGGAGAGGGCCTTTTGCAAATCTGTCCTTAACAAAAACGACAAGGATGAAGACACGAGATGGGAACATAGTTATATGGCTGGCAAATAGGACACTGGGATCAGTTCAGTTATTGAAACCAAGGCAAGGATAGAAGGGACATTCATTTCAACAATGAATTTAGTAGAAACTTTGAATAATAGAGAATATAATATCTTTGAAGTAGAAGCAATACCTAAAATTTGTAATACAACCAAATAAAGGACCAAAGTGGAAAAGGAAACCCGAGGGCTCCCTCATAACGTCAATGCAACACTTAAATATTTTTGCTCCTAGAAGAACTAAACCAAGAACAATATTAATTTTTAAATATATTGATTAATTAACATCGGCTCTATACAAATCAATTCTATATATATATATATATTTTTTAAATCAATCTACCTGAACTTCCAGTCTCCACATTACCTCATGTGGTCTTGCCCTTGGCCTTCCTAAACTTTGTTTCCTCTGCGTTGGCACACATGCTGGCTGCAAAGCCTTGTTTAAGTCATTTCACTTCCCCATGCCCTCCTCTGTAAAAACAAGGCTTACAAACTAATAATCACACCTGCTGCGTGGGTTGTAAGGATTTAGTAAGTGAACGCATGAGGAGCCCCGAGAACAGAGTAAGCGTGCCACGTGTGGGAGTCAGCAGCCATGGTGGTTGTGAAACGGCTGTGTTTTTTCCAGCTCCTTCCCCTTCTGCTCACGTTCTTAACTCTTGCTCATTCTCCAGTTCTGAAATCAGGGATCGCTCCTGCAGCTGGTACTTCTCCCAGTAGCCCTCCAGAGTAGATATCCTTACCGTTTCCAGTGGTGGGAAAGGAGGCACACGAGACACCGTGTTTTGCCCCAGGGCACAGGTCCAGCCGAAGCTCGGGGTTCCCTACGCTCCGTGATCTCGTGCCGTCTGTTCTGTCCCCCCCAGTGCTCTGCCCCCAGCCTGCATCGCCAGCTCCTTGCTTCATGCTTGCTTCTAAGTGGTTCATTCCTCTCTGTGTGTTACCTTCTCCACTTGCTTTTCTTCCTGCAGGGTGGACCTCATTTAGTGACCAGCCCCACTGTCCCACCACCACCTACCCTCGCCCTGACCCCAGACTCCTCTCTCCTGTTGGTCTCCTCTGCCAAATTCTCTCAAATCTTCTGTCCATCTCCAACTTTGCAGAATTTTATTTAAGACGTTCTCATCTTTCTCACCTGGTTGATCTGATCAGCTTCCTTCCAGATGGTCCTTTAGTCCCTGGTCTCCATCCAGGTTGCCCGAGGATCCTCTCAACATGTAAATCAGTTCGGGTCCTGCACCTTGCCGAGAGCTTCCTACTGGCTAATCAGTTATGAGAAAGGTCCCAAGAAAAACTCTGCGAAACAGGGCTCCTTTGGCCACAATGTTTGGCAAGTGAAGCTTCCTCTGTCCTCCTCTTAGGGAGTCACTCTGTGCAGGAACATGGGAAAGGTTGAAGAAGCCCTGTGCTAAAGAACGCTGTTTAGACCCATGGACCCAGTGTTCTGTCTTCCCTGATGTCCTGGCTTTTTCTCCACAGCCTCTAAGGAACATCTATGGGAAAGCGTGTTCCAGGAATGCTCTTTGGGAAACGCTGCCTGGCAGGATCAAGTTCAAGTTCCTTAGCATGATTGTCTTTCACTATTCCCCTCCCTGTCCCTTCTGCACCCCAAATCATCTGTAATTCCCTTTGGGTTTTTTTCTACCTCTGCGGGCCTGCTTCTAGAAGGACCCTCACCTCTACTTCATGATGGACAAATCTCTACTAATTCTTCAAGAGTTGGCCCAAAGGAAACCTTCTTCGTGACTCCTTCCTTCTTTTCTTTTGGGTTTACTCTTACTAGGCCTTGCGGCTGTCAGCATATACTTGTTTGCAGGTCTGCCTGCATCACTGAAAGATCAGTTTAGAGTGGTCAGGCGAGCCTCCCTCCATGTCCCCAGTGCTCACTGGGCACAGGATACTTGGGAGGGGTGCAGGGAGTTTTGGTTAAATAAGTGACATCAAAGGGTTGAGACCCCATGCTGGGGCTGGAGGTCACACTGCCTCAAAGGAAGGCCAGTGTTTCCCAAACTTAGCATCACTGACATGTTGAACCAGGCAGCTTGTTGTGGGCCCCCCACCCCATGCCTTGTAGGATGTTTACCAGTACCCCCAACCTGTCTCCCACAGATGCCGGCAACAACCTCTTCCCCAGTATGACTATCAGAAGCATCTCTAGATGTTGCCAGATACCCCCTGGGGAGCAAAATCATTTCTGGTTGAGACCACTGTTCCAGACCCAAGTTATTCCACTTGTCCTCCTGCATCTGAGCAGACGATCTTTTTCTCAGATAGTTTAACCCATTGTCCTTCTTGACCTTAAAACTTTCGCAAGGATAAAAAAAAATCCCCTCCTTCCATACCTGAGGCTGAGCTTTTCTTCTTCTCTGGAGGTGCTGGGGAAGGTTCCAGGAAAGGTGCAGCTTCAGGAGCTCCTCGGGGAATGGCTAAGCAAGCCTGGAGAGTGAGCCGGTGTTGTGCCTGGAGCCGGGGCAGACATTTCGGAGGGATGGGGGGGTCTCTTGCTTCAGACATCTGTGCCAGTTCCCTTGAGGGATGTTGCTGGGAGCCTTGTCAAGCAGCCTTACAAGGAGTGGACATCCTGGCCTGTACTTTCTGAAAAGCACCTTTGTCGTGTAGGAAGAAACTCTTCTACTCACTTCCCACCCTTGTGGGAGCCTGGGAAAGATGGAGGTCTCTCCTACAGCCGCCTTCTTATCCCTCTTCCACCCTTGCAGTCAGTGCGGAGGGGAGCCAGGCCTGTGCCAAAGGTTGTGAGCTCTGCTCTGAGGTCAACGGCTGCCTGAAGTGCTCGCCCAAGCTGTTCATCCTACTGGAGAGGAACGACATTCGCCAGGTGGGCGTCTGCTTGCCTTCCTGCCCCCCGGGATACTTCGATGCCCGCAACCCCGACATGAACAAGTGCATCAGTGAGTGTGGGGAGGGCTGGAGAAGACTCTGGACACTGGGGGAGGGTGCTTTGAATGGTTGGTGGCAGGCAGGAGGAGGAGGAGAGGGGACATGGAGGAGGGGAGATGAGGCTCCGATTCAAGTATCCAGCAGCCAGCCCGACATCTCAGGGAGTCCCTCCACCTTCCCAGTTCGTGTATCCATATCAGAGCCATATCTCCCGCCTCCAAACCTGTACCCACCTGCACTGCCGCGGTGTCCTGGGCCACTCACGCCATTGACCTGAGAGCCAGCTTGTCCTTCATGTCATCTCCCATCCATCTAATGACCAGATCGTGCCTGCTGCCTCTCGTTTCCATCCTTACTGCCATAGTCTCGCCCGGGGTTCCTACTGCCTCTATCCTGGACTATCTCAGTAGCCTGCTTCTCTGTCCTCCAGCACTCATCCAGTTCCCTTGAGCCCTCCCTCCACATGACAGCCAGAAAGATGCTTCTGAGACACGTGTCCTGTCCCATCACACTACTGTTTGAAAACCACCCCGGCCCCACTTACCGCAGGGAAATTCAAGCCCCTGCCAGCCTGTCTGTTCCATGCACCCTCCTGCCCCGCCCCCGTGTCCAAGTCTTCTTGCCAGCTGGGCTGGGCTCCCCCACAGCCGCTGTAGCTCTACATGTTTGAAGGCACATGCTGCCCCACCTCTGTTCAGGCTCACTGTGACATACTGGGGGACAGGCAGGGAACACACTCCAGTGAACAATGCCAGTGCCCCTCCCATTCGCTCAGGGCCTGGGAGATTAGAATGCATTTCTAGATCATGTGTCCGTTGAGCCTCACAACAGCCTTTGGAGGGAGATGGGACCTAAGTGACAGGTGCCCTTTTTTCGGAGGCTGATAGCAATGAGGCCTGCTGGGGAAATGGCTGACCCGAGATCAGCCTTGGGTTCTAAGCTTAATTCTGCTTCTTTCTCGTTGTATAACTTCGGGCGTGTTGCAGCCTCTCAAAGCCTCATGTCTGAAACGAGAGTGCTAGTTTTCCCCCTAGGGCTGTTGCCAGAGGCATATAGAAAGCCCTTAGTGGCTACCCTTACTGTATGTCCCCTGCAACCAGACCCAGGAGTCTGAGAAAGGAGGGAGGAGTGGAGGAGAAGGAGCCTCCAGGAGGCACAGAGGAGGGGTCGGGTGCGGTGGGGTGGGAAGCCTTTGAGGATGGAGGGGGGGACCCTGGGGCTTCCCTCTTGGTCCTCAGGGTGTTTGGGGTAGGAGCTCCTGACTGAGCCAGCTCCCGCAAAACTGGCAGCCCCAGCTGCAGGTGCCAGAGACTGGGAAGAAGTCAGCCTTGCCCACGGTCTGGGAAGGGAGATGTTGTGAAAGACTGCCTGCTTTCAGCCAGGGCCCTGTGACCCTCCCTCCCCCAACTTCCCCAGAGGAGGGAGAGCTGGCAAGAGGGGATCAGGGAGGGACCCAGGAGTCCAACCAAGGTGGTTCCTGGAACTGGGCCTTGCAGAGGGAGAGGAATTTGCCCTGAGATCTCTCCTTCCCCCTCCAAGCAGATTCTTTTCTCAGGGCAGGAGGGGAACCAGGGTTTGGGGTGTCACGGATGCCCAGCTATGGTGAGAGGGAACCATACAGCTGTGAGCGGGTCATTGTATTCCTCAGTTCAACTCCGATTAGGTGGTCCTCTGGTGTGCCATGATGCGCTGGGACCCTTATCCCCCCTTCCCCCAACGAATCCCAGAGGGTCCTGCCCTGCTCCTCTGAAACCAGCTCTTCTGCTCCTCACCTTGGTTCCAGGGCCTGGGATTGGGTTTGGGGTAGTGTAGCTGACCGGCCCAGCCAGCCCTGAAGAGCAACCCCTTTGGCTTCCTCGGCTCACCCTTCCCTTGCCTTCCCTCCCTCCCAGGACTCTCCTGCGGTCATGGCAGCTCAGGGCCAGGGTCCTGCCCTCAGGGTTGGGGGGGCTGCCCTTAGGGTGGAGGGGCCTTGGGGATGGGGGTGAGCCAGAGGCCCCCAATCTGGCCCTCTCCTCAGAGTGCAAGATTGAGCACTGTGAGGCCTGCTTCAGCCACAACTTCTGCACCAAGTGTAAGGAAAGCTTGTACCTGCATAAGGGCCGTTGCTATCCGGCCTGTCCCGAGGGCTCGGCGGCTGCCAACGGCACCACGGAGTGTAGCAGTCCTGGTGAGTTTGCGGGGGTGCTACGGGCCAAGGGGGTTGGGCCCCAGGGAAGGGACAGGGAGAGCCTGCTTATCCCCCACCTGCAGCCCCTCCCCTGACAGCCCTGTGGGGTTCGTCCCAAGGTTTTTCTGGCCTCTGAACCAAAGATGCCTCCAGCCTCAGGCTCAGGCAGAGAACAGGTGGGAGGGGCTCCCCTGGGGCATTCTGGGGTACCCAGAGGTGACCCCCTCCTCCCCTTCTTTCTCTCCCTCTTCCCTCCCTTCCTGCCAGCACAATGTGAAATGAGCGAGTGGTCCCCGTGGGGGCCGTGCTCTAAGAAGAAGAGGCTCTGTGGCTTCCGGAGGGGCTCCGAGGAACGGACTCGGAGGGTGCTCCATGCCCCTGGGGGGGACCACGCTACCTGTTCGGACACCAAGGAGACCCGCAGGTGCACAGTGCGGAGGACACCCTGTCCGGAGGGTGAGCTGCGTGCGGTCTGTGCCTCCCCGGGGCTGGGAGTCGGGGACAGCCATAGAGGTCTGATCACTTCTGCCTCTTGCCTGTCACCTGGGAAAGGGCCACAGGCTGGGGCCAGATGGGAACCTCCAGTTCAAGATGCCATGCTGGGGGAACCAGTGCCAGGTTCTGGCAGAGAGCAGTCCCCAGAGCTCCATGTGGTGGGAGCTGGAAGCTTCAGTGTCTGTGTCTTCCGGTTTCCCCATTTTCTCTGAACCAGCACGTGTTGGCATTAGAAGGACCCTCAGAGGTCTGAGGGGGGCCACAGAAGCAGGTGCTAAGACTCAGAGAGGTATAGTGATGTGACCAAGGTCACACAGCCTGTAGTTGGCCCTGAGGTGGCAGCTGCCCCCAGAGGCTGTGGAGTGGGGCGGAGGAGCTGGGGGTTTTCCTGCTTGTCCTGAGAGCTGCACCAAACATCTTGGCCCAGTGGGGTTCAAGGTCTGTGAGAAACACAAGCAAGAGGAGGGTGTCTGGTTCATCGAGGGATGGGGGGAAAGGCTCCTGGGACCCCCGTCTCCATAACCATGTTGTAGGGTCCCCTGAAGTGGCCACTAGTCAGAAGAGGCCTTGAAGGGGACCGCCACAGCCTAAAGGCAGTAACTCCACCCCCACAGCTTCCTCCCCAGTCCCCTCCTCGAGCCCTGGGCCATGCCCGGGGCCTCCTCGCTTGCTGCAGGACGTCCTTTGTTGACTCTTCCTGCTGTTGGGGTTGCAGGGCAGAAGAGGAGGAAAGGGGGCCAGGGCCGGCGGGAGAACGCCAACAGGAACCCGAGCAGGAAGGAGAGCAAGGAGGCGGGCGCCGGCTCTCGGAGACGCAAGGGCCACCAACAGCCGCAGCACCAAGGAACAGTGGGGCCGGTCACGCCTACGGGGCCCACCTAGGGATGATTGTCACCTCCAGGCCCACGCAGGAAGAGTCCAGCGCTGCTCTGTGTGATGAAAGCTTTACTGAACTGGAGCGCTGGGGGCAAAGCGTGTACGCACTCTCCATGCATATATGGACACACAGACACACACACACAGGGCCCATGTTCAAACATACAACCAACATACACGTATGTGCACACGTGTGCATGTGCACACGTGTGCGCGTGCACACACACACACACACAACCAAGGCCACCAGAAGACACTTCTCTCTCTTGGACATCATCACAGGAGCAGGGTGGGGAGGTAGAGGGGTTCCCCTTTGCCTGGTAGAGGGCCCAGTGGCACAGACTTGGCTTGCGATGCTCCCAAGGGACATGTCAGAGGGAACATTTCCCAGCGTCCAAGCCCAAAGAGAGTGGATCCTTCTGGAGGAGCTGATAGGATCGGCCCAGCATGGCAGACAGGAGCCAGAGCTTGGGGACTGTTCAGCATTTCCAGCTGTGTGACTTTATACTTGGAGAGTACTGTTACACGCCCATGATCCGTATCAGGGCTGCCCCGACTCTGAAAACTGTTCACAGGTTTATTTCAAATTAAAAACAAAACCAAATGACAACGGTAGCCACAGGCACCACATTCCTTCACAGGGGACAAGGATTGGTGGGTTACCTGGGAGCAGGACAGGACAGGGCTGAATTTCAAAAGACCCCCTCATGGGCCCCTGGGCAGAGGGCCCAGAGCAGGAAGAAAACTTTGAGGCTACTCTGAGGGTGATAACCAGGTTCTCTGCAGCCTTATTTGTCACTCAAAGTGTGGTTTGTGGACCAGCATTCACGTTATCACCGGGCAGTTTAGAAGGGAGAGTCTCAGGTCCCATCTCAGACCTGATGAACCAGAGTCTGCATTACAATGAGGTCTCAGGTCACTGGAACGCGCGTTCAAGTTTAAGAAGCTCTGCTCTGATCACGTCTATGGTGGGAACCAAGGTCCTGGCCAGCTTGTCACAGGAGGGATGCTGGTCCCCCTGTTAAGGAAGACTTCCTATCCAGGAGAGGTAGAATCTGAGTCCTAGGGCACTGTAATGACACCCTAATGGGAGGGAGTGCTCAGGCTCCCCAAGACAGCTGGGGACTGTTGGATCCAAGGACAGGACAGCGGACAGCATGACCTCCTGTGGCATTCTCAAGTGTCCACTGGCAACCATGTGTGCCATATGGGCCCTGGACTGAGGGGTTTCTAGGGGGAACCAGGCATAGGCCTTGCTTTCCTGGAGTTAGAAGTTGGTCAAGGTAACAGGCATGAACAAAAGAATCATCCCAATAAATATGTAATTACCAATGGGTAGGGTTAAGACCAGGCAACTACTGGCACATACAATGAGCTATAAAGGTAAATAAAAATAAGGCTTTATCTCAGGGAAGCTTTTCAGAGGAGGTGGTATTTGAGCCAAGCTCTGAAGGATGAGTAGGAGTTAGGACAAAGAGAAGGGATGGTGTTCTAGACCAGTGCAGTCTGATAGAAATACCAGATGAGCCACTGACGTAATTTAAAATTTTTCTAGTAGCCACATCTAATGAGTAAAAAAGCAACAGGTGAAGTTCATTTTAATTATAGCCATTTATTAATTTAATTACTATTACACCAAGTATATGCTCAAATGTTATCTTTTTAACATGTAATCAATATAAAAATTATTAACAACATCTTTCACATTCTTTTTTTTTTTTCAAACTAAGTCTTCAACATTCTGTGTATTTTTGCACTTCACAGCATATCTTAATTTGGACACTAAATTTTCACCAGAAATAACTTGACTTGTATTTAGAGTTCATAAAAATGGAAAAGTAGACTCACATACTGAATTCCTGCTTCAGGAAGAGTTAGAATTTTTCCAACAATTTGAATTGAGTATATTTTAAATTTTAAATTTAATCATTAAAATTAGGTAAATTAACAATTTGGCTCTTTGGTTGTACCAGCCATGTTTCAAGGGCTCACTAGCTACATGTGGCTAGTGGCTACTGTGTTGGACAGCAGAGCTCTGTATAGAAGGCATTGCACATGCAAATGTCCTGTGGCAGAAGGGAGATTGGTGTTCAAGGAACTGAAAGAAGACCAATATAGCTGGAAGGTCTGGAGGACAAGTGAGGTGAGATGATTCTAGAAAGGTCTCCTGGATTTGGGTCTTTTTTTTTTTTTTTAAAAGTTTTATTTATTTGTTTGACAGAGATCACAAGTAGGCAGAGAGGCAGGCAGAGAGAGAGAGAAGCAGGGTCCCTGCTGAGCAGAGAGCCCAATGCGGGGCTGGATCCCAGGACCCTGGGATCATGACCTGAGCTGAAGGCAGAGTCTTAACCCACTGAGCCACCCAGGGGCCCCTGGATTTGGGTCTTTATTCTCAGAACCAGAGGAAGCTGCTAAAGAGTTTTAAGCAGCAGGCCAAGATGAACAGATTTGTATTTTGCAAATACAAATACAAATTCAAATTCTGATGGCTGTAGTGTACAAGGCAGATTGAAGGGAAGCTGCGTTGGGGGCTATTGCTGTCATCCAGGCTAGAGGTGTTGCAGACACGGACTAGGGTGGAAATGGAGAGAAATGGATAAAGTCACAAGGCATTTGGAGAATAAAGTTGGCAGAGTTTAGTGATAAACTGGAGGTGGAAGAGGAAAGAAGGGGAGAGAAAGGGTCAAGGACAAAATCTCCATTTCTGGCTCGAACACCCCCAGGGTGATGGTTCAGTGTTCTGAGATGGGGAACTGGTCAGGAAGACTGGTTTGGGAAGACAAGGTTTTGATTATGTTGAGTGCGAGGTGCCTTTGAGACATCCTGGTGACCATGGAGAGTAGATAGTGTGTAGACATGAATGAAGGTCTAGCCCGCACAGGGCAAGTTGGAGCTGGAGCATGAACTGATGTAGAGAAGGTAATTGAGGGTTTGGAAGAGATAGCATAAAGTGAGAGTTGGAGGAAGAGAAGGCTGGGGACTCAGCTGTGCGACCCTCTGGGTACAAATTTCCGAAGATGGGGATCAATCAGCAGAGAAGGCAGAGCAGGAGGAGGAGAGGGAACGAGGGAGTCTGCAAGCAGGAGAGAGATCACAAGGGCCTAAGGTGCTCAGGGACCAAGTAGACAAAGACTGGAAATTGTCCGTCAGACTTACAACTCGTGTGCCAATGGAAACCTCAACAGGAGCCATTTGGAGCAGGCACGGGAGCCGAAATCAGTATGTACCATTCCTTCAGGAAGTTTAGCTGAGAAATGGGGAGAAGCCCGACAGGGGCTGGAAAGAGAGATGAGGGTGGAGAGAGTCTTTTTTCCTTCCCTTCCCTTCTCTTCCCTTCCCTTCCCTTTCCTTCCCTTTCCTTCCCTTCTCTTTCCTTTTTTTTTTTTTTTTTTTTAAGGTGGGAAAGACTTGAAAATGTTTAAAACTCACTGGGAAGCATCCAGTTTAGAGAAAGAGGTTGAATCCACGAGAGAGGAAAGGGAAAATCAGTAGTGGAAGGCTTCCAGTGGAGGGACAGCTAGATGGGAGCCAGGAGAGGCTGGTGCAGGTGAGGGAAGGATGGAGGTTTGGAAGGTGGGGGATCTCAGGTGTGTGCACCGGACCCTCTGTGGGGCTCTTCACATCCATACCGGATAGCGCCCTCACTGCAGGCCAGGATTTGGAGGTTGAGCTATATCCTGGGGGTCCGGCTGCCCACAGCCCCCTCTCCCTGACCCTGGCACTATCTTTGCCATCTTGCTGGTCATCTGTTTTCCATCTCCAGTTTTGGTCTCTGCCTCTGCCCCTCCCTGTTTCTCTGACTCTGTCCTCGTCTGTCCCTCTTTTCACCATTGTGTCTTTCTCTTTTCCTACCTCAGTCTTTGATTCTAGTCTCTCTGTTGTTCTGCCTCTCTTCTGGGCATCAGCCTCAGCTCCTCCACATCTTGGCTGCCTCTGGCTCTGACGTGCCCTAATGTCCCAGATCCCCTAGGTCCTGGATACTCAACGTGTGGCCATGGATCAGCAACCTCAGAGCCTAAAAGTCCAGAATCTCACTCCCCTCCTCAACCTAAAGACTCTGAATCTGCCTCAGGTCCCCAAGTCCTTCACATGCATGTTAAGCATTTGAGAAGCATTGCCTTAAGCTTTCCTCTAAAACAACATCAAAGCAAAAATCAGAATCTTAGAACCTGGAATGATCTGAATCCTCCTGCATCTCCAGCGTCACCTTGGTGACACTCTAAGGCATTCACCTTCTCTGCATCATCTCCTCGTGCCTTCTAGAGCTGCTCCTGAAGCTCTAGGCCACAGAGCAAGGGAACATAACGTGGTCTTCTGTGGGTCCTGAGCTTCCACACCTGCAAAACTACTGGTGGGAGGGAAGTATCCTGATACCAATATGCTGAGTGCTTCCTGGTGGGACTCCAGTCCCTCCTTGAAAAGTTAGCCCGCCCAGACCTGTCTCACCCTTGTCTTACTCTTATCCTTTCAAGACTAAGAATGGTGGTTTTATTTATTTATTTATTTATTTATTTATTTATTTATTTATTGAGCTGGCAACGAGGTATATGTTTCATGATGGGGTTCAGTTACCTGCACACTGCCCCCAGAGCAGCTCACCTGGGCCTGGAGACCGTATGGGTTGACCAGAAGTCCCACCTGGTGAGTTTTAGAGTGAGCAGGTGCTGGAGAGAGGGAGTCCTGTCGAGATTCCTAACCCTACTCCCCGGTTTAGGCAAACACAGCCCATGATTCACATGTGGCTGTTATGTTCCCACATTGTCATTTGGGAAGTGTTAGCTTTGCCCTCAACAGGGTCACCTTTCTGCCTGGACTAAGACATTTCTGGCCACCTTACCCAGTGCCAGCTCTGGTATGTTTCAGACCAAGTCTCTAGAGCATGGATCTGTTTTCCACTTCAGTATTTTGAGTGATGGAGTTGTTTTCTGGATTTGTTTTTTTAAGTGGTTATCCCCCCCCACCCTGCCGCCCTCTGGTTTGTTTGGTTTGGTTTGGTTTGATTTGGAAGGACTGAGAGAGAATTTAGGAAAAGGGTCAACTTCCTGGGCCCCATTCAAGCCTTTGAGCCAGGGCCTGTCACAGAGGTGCCGCCTTCGTGCCCCGACTCCTCCAGCCGTGGTCCAGATGGGACTTACGCGGACCGCTGGCGAAACCCCCCCGAAGGTGGTAAGGAAGC